GGTGGTCATGGGGGGGAGGTGCGGGGAGAAGCCTGTGGGCGACCCCTCCCCTCCTTGTGCTGGGGCTCGGCACAGTAAAGGGGCGGTTATTCCTCTTGCTTTTTGAAATCGGGGAGGCGGTCGCTTCACCCCAGCTTCAGCTACCACCCACAGGGGCCGTGGAGGAAGCTGGCACCTCTGGTGCGGCTGGGAGTCGGGTGGCCGACGTGGGGCGGGATTGGGGGATTCCGAAGAACGGGAACAGATACCGCCAACAGAACCAAGGAAGGGGGACTGGGCTCCCCTGAGCCACCCTCCTTCACCCCCACTCCCAAAGGCCAAGGGACAAGAAGTGCAGGTGGCAAGGCGCTCAGGATCCCAGCCCAGTCTGGGGAGGGAGGGGCGTGGGGGTGGCGGGACGCAGCCCCAATTCAGCAACTGCCAGTTTGACCTGTCGGCGGGAGGGCGGAAGCAGCCTCCCGTTCGAGGATCTAGTTTCAGAAAGACAAGGCAGGCGCGGGGATGGGCGTCCGAGGGGCGCCTGGGTCTCTCCCGATCCCCACTCCCACCCCTTTCCAGTCGCGGCTGGGTCCCGGCCCACACTTACCCGCTCCGGACAGCTCTTCTCCACCTCGCGCGGTTCTGGCGCGGCAGCCTGCGGCTCATTTTCGCTACCAGCCCCCTGCGCCTCGGTGGCGGCCGGCGGCTCGGCCTGCCCGGGCCCGTCTTGGGCTCGCAGCAGCTCCTCCCGGACCTGGACACCCAGCTTCTGCAGTCGCTCGTCCGTCTCGGGGTCGACCACCAGCAGGCGCACTGCGTTGAGCGCGGCGCGGATGCGGCTCACCACCTGCTGGTGGGTCTCTTTCTCTACGTTCTCGCCGTTCACTTCCACCAGCCGGTCTCCGGCCAGCAGCCCCGACTTCTCGGCTGGCGAACCGGGCTCCACCAGCCGGATGAACTGGCCCACCTTGCCCTTCTCCCCGTGCAGGTGGAAGCCGTAGCCGTTCGGACCCTTCTCCAGGCAGCAGAGCCGGGGTAGGGGCGCCCCGGCCGCCGCGTCCGCGCTCATCTCGCCCGGCTCAGTGGTGCGACGTGGGGTCCTGTTGGGGGCTGGGGGCGGGACGGTCCAGCCCTTCTCTCCTCCCTGTGGACCGGCAGGCAGGAGGGAGCGCAGGAGGGAATCCCCGCGTCTTCAGACTGGCTGAACAAGCAGGTGTGCGGCGAGCTGTGGCCCCGAACTGCTAAAAGTTGGAGCAGGAGCGCGTGGACCAATCCCCACCCCGCGCGGCGTCTGAGCGATGCAGAATCTGCTCCAGCCCCTTATTCCGGGGGCGGGGTCGCGCCGAGGGTGTGGACACCAAGGCCCAATCAGAAGCCACGAACAGGGGCGCTCGGGCCGGGTGAACAACTCTGACCAATGGGAACGCTCAGGGGCGGGGCCCAGTGCTCTGCGCGGCGCCCCGCGGCGCAAGAAGAAAGAAGGCTCAGGAAGTGGAAGTGTTTGTTACCAAGTGGCCGGAGTTGAGGCGGGGGGCGGGGCGAGTTCCTGGTACTGGGCGGAGGGACCCCTAGGCTCAGTTCTGGTTTTCCTACATTTGGCGGGGATTGTGGAGAGCCAACCTTTGGGTAAAGGGCTCTAACGTTTTAACAGCCTTTAGCTAAAACCTTGTGTGCACTCCAATGAGGGGTGGGAGCGACTGTTGCCGGGGAAACCGCTCCAGCTCCGGGGCTGCAGGGTCGCAAAAGTCTTATGAACAAGACGAGATGCACCTCTGACCCAACAAAGTTGTTTGAATAACGACATTTTCCCGTTCGTGGAGTCACTTTGCGTTGTCCAAGGACACGCTTACAGGGGTGCGGGCTCTCATCCTCGCTGGGACTGTGTGAGGGCTCAGCAGGGAGCCCAGGCTTCCCCGGGGCTGCCTACTGAGGACAGGCCACCTAGGACAAGGGTGTGAACACTGGCGTCAGCGTGTGGCTAGGGAAGTGGGGGAAGAGAGGCAGAACAGAGTCTGGTAACCAATCTCTGAGTACAGCGAGCAGAGGATAAACAGCCCTGGCTTTTTCCAATAGAAAACAAAAAACAAAAAACAAAAAAACCAAAAAAACCCGAACGGGACCATCAGATAAACCTTTCAGCTCCTGGCCCGGGGAGAGGCTGGGGTGCCGGTTGGTTAAGGGTGAGGTTAGCAGTTGGGGGCATTGAAGGATGAGGATCAAATGATTTGGGCAGTGACAGTTCCCCCAACATGCATCATTTCAACATGATCTCCCCTGTCCCCTCTCCGTGTGCACCTCAAAGAAGCAGCGGACAGGGTGTACTTTCCAAATTCTGCAATTTAATTCTGAAAACACAAATGCGGCCCATGTGATTCGGTCTCCTGTGACCTGCCTTGGGCCCCAGAAGAGCCCAGCAAGGTCAGGCTCCTCCCTGCTTCGCCTGGGAGAAGCCTAGGAGAGTTTCCTTATCAGGCCCAAGTTGGAGCTGCTGACTCTGCTCAGAGAGCAAGATTTCTGCCTTGAAAGCAAATGCAATAGCCTCAGAAATGTGAAGTGTGTACTTCTTCCTCTATCCTCTCCCTTGCCCTTGGCCTGGAGAGCTAGAGTAAAGGTGCCTCCAGGTCATGACCCACATATCTCCTGTCCACCTCCGTTTGCTGTAGTCAGGGACCTGGGAGACCAGTGACTTTGGCCCTACATAAACTCTGCTGACTCTCACCTCACCCCAGTCTTACTCAAATGACCTTGTTTTGCACACTGTGTTGGTTTACCCAGTAATGGGTGACTTCTCACTCCCTAACTTGGCTCAGTGGGAGGAGAGATGGAGAGTTTTGGCCTTGGTGTCTGTCTGGAAGCAAAAAGGCATGAGTGGTCAAGGAGGAGACAGCGCTTGGGTTTGGGGGCATATGTGTGGTGAGGTGAGGTTTGCTCAGTTCTGCCTCCCATCTGCTCCAGAAGTCAGAGGTTTCTCCTTAACTGACTCTTAATCCAGTAGAAGCACTGTGGCTGCTAGAAGTAGGCTGTGGGGGTGCATACCTGCCAAAGGTTTGAGATAGGAGAAAAACCTCTCCCTGGCTGTGACCTCAGGTGTCTAGGGGCACAAGCAAAAAGGTAGAGAAGACCAGGGGTTCCGGGAGGTGGGGTTCCCCTGGGACCCAAGGTCCAGAGAACAGGAACCAGATGTTTTCGGCTTGTGAGCTGGAGGAAAAGGGGCACATGTCCCAGAGGGGGGCTAGGAAAGCCAGAGGCAGCCAAACAGATAGACTTAGTCTGGGTCACTCCTCCCCCCTGCACCCACAGAGCTCCGTCACTGCCCGATCTCCACATCTCTTATATTCCCTAGCCTTGGTCTAGCTCCCGGCACCAGGGACCGTCTTACTGGGGAAGACTGTTCCCTGGGAGCTGGAGGAAATGAAAGTTGGGGGTCTGCTTAGCCTCTCCAGTTGAGGTGAAGGTGGCCACGGGGTCACGTCTGGCCCTCACGCTGCAGAAGTGCGTCACTGCCCTCTGGTGCTGAACTGAAGCAACACCACCCTTGTCAAGGTTCGGAGGGAGCCTCAGCCCCCCAAGTCCAAGTAGCAGAAGGCAAAAGGTCCACCAGCTCCCTGCCTTGTTTTTCTGGTGCCCCGCCTCCCCCCTCCCTCCCTTTTTGTATTACATTATGTGTCATTAGGATGAGATAAATATTTTACCCTCCCCCAGGATGCAGGGAAACTATGCAACTAGGGTCGGGGTGGGAGTACAGCTCCCGCTTGGGAAGGGGCTGTCCACTGGGTCCCCCAACTCCCAGCCTCGCAGAATAAACCAGATCTGGGGGGAGAAGGCTGCATCCGCGGGGGCCTCTGGAGCCCCCTTGCAGCCCCTTGGTATTCACAAGACGGAGCAGCAGCTGGGCCGTTTCTTCTGGGACTCCACAAAGTCTCGGATCTGGAAGCTGGGCCCATCGGGCTGCCACAGGGCTCTGTATTTCAGCTCCCTTGAAGAGGAAGAAGCAGTGGGCTGGGCAGGGAGTGAACAGCTGCACCCTCCCCACTCCCACAGCTCGGGGCTACTGGCCGCAGCATGCACAATGTGGTTGGGCCAGGGGCTGGGCCAGGGGCCAGGCCCTACTGGATTCCCAGATGGTGCCACCCTGCCCTGCACGGTTCTCTTCCTTGCTCAGCTCTTACTTGGCAATGGCCAGAAAGGCTAACTCCACATTCATGCCCGTCTTGGCGCTGGTCTCCATGAAGGGAACGCCGTACTCCTGCCAGGAAGAGAATGTCCTCAGGGCCAGCCTCTGGCCGTCCCCACCTCTCACCCTGCCCACGGGGAGTCACTTACCCTGGCCAGTGTCTCTCCGTCCTCCGAACGGATCACCCGTTCACTGCTCACATCTGCCTGTCAAGCCCAGGTGGGTCACTCTGGGGAAGAAAACCTCCACCCCCAGCTGCCCCTTCTCAGGCCTTGGCTGGCCCTTCTTTTGCCTGAGGAGCAGCCACTGCCTGCCCTCTGCTGGTGGCCTAT